ACAGAAAACTCTCACTTTTTAACTCCAGCAACTAAAAAAAAAAAAATGTTGTTATATGAAATAAGATAAAACTTTAACAGAAATAAAATAAGATACCAAAAAGCTAAAGCTTCTTTTATTTCACCAGGTTGCCAAGGAAACATGTCTCATTATCGTTTAGTTGAACTTGAAGTACTAAAATAACTAATAGACCAGTTCGGAGGAGACGTCACAGTTACGTCAGAAAACACTGGAGCAAGTGCAGGGAAACGGGTCAAATGCTAATGACATGCTAGTAACTTGCTAGTCATCTATCTATCTAGTCATGTTAGCACCATGTTAGTGACATGCTAATCATACTAAAAACATGCTAGCGGCATGCTAGTAACGTCCTAATCATGCTAGCAACATGCTAGTAAAATGCTGATAATGCTAGAAACATACTATCGACATGCTAGCAACATGCTAGTCACTTGCTAATCAGGCTAGCAACATGCTAGTCACTTGCTAATCAGGCTAGTAACATGCTAATCATGCTAGAAACAAGCTAGTCACTTGCTAATCATGCTAGAAACATGCTATCAACATGTTAATCATGCTAGCAACATGCTAGTCACTTGCTAATCATACTAGCAACATGCTAATCATGCTAGAAACATGCCAGTATCTTTCTAATCATGCTAACGACATGCTAGTCATCTATCTATCTAGTCATGCTAGCACCATGTTAGTAACATGCAAATCATGCTAGCAACATTCTACTTACTTACTAATCATGGTCATGCTAGTAACATGGTAGTCACTTGCTAATCATGCTAGCAACATGCTAGTCACTTGATAATCAGGCTAGCAACATGCTAATCATGCTAGAAACAGGCTAGTCACTTGATAATCAGGCTAGCAACATGCTAATCATGCTAGAAACAGGCTAGTCACTTGATAATCATGCTAGCAACACCCTAGTTACTTACTAATCATGCTACCAACATGCTAATCATGCTAGAAACATGCCAGTATCTTGCTAATCATGCTAGCGACATGCTAGTCATTTATCTATCTAGTCATGCTAGCACCGTGTTAGTAACATGCTAATCATGCTAGCAACATTCTATTTACTTACTAATCATGCTACCAACACGCTGATCAGGCTAGTAACAGGCTAATCATGCTAAAAACATGTTATCAACATCTAACTAAATTTTCAAACCTCAGGCTTTTACAACTGCTTTAAGCTTTCAGGCTAGGCTCTTTTTTTTTGTCTTGACCAACATTTTCATCTAGTTGAACTTGAAGTACTAAAATAACTAATAGACCAGCTCGGAGGAGACGTCACAGTTACGTCAGACAACACTGGCGCAGAACGCTGTCGTCATAGACGCCTCTTGAAGCATTCCTCTGATTTAAACAATAGGTCTACACAATCTTCACATATGCAGCTCACAGGGGGCATATCGTATTAGCCCTGCAGTTACAGCATCAAATAGCTACTATTAAACCTATAACATATATAAAAAAAACCCTAATAAAATTTAAATCATTAATAAAAACTATACTAGCATAAATAACATGCTGATCCCCTACCGACAGCTTATCTGTAATCACACTACTGTGCCTACAAACATCAAACAAATCATATTTCTTAATAAACAGTAAGTATTCAAGCAAATGGCACTATTGCGCATCATTAACGCTATTCTGATCGACGCTGTCGTAACCCGAGCGTCATGACGTCATCGCGTCAGGTGTGACGTCGCGGCTGCCTCAGGCCATCATCGCTACTTATCGCTAGTGCTAGTAATAATAAATAAACACAACAGTTTCGTGTCTAAACGTCGAGCTGAGACGACCTCGCGATACGGGCCAAAGCAAAGCTAAGCGTCGTTTAGTCTCTCCTCAACAGCGCGCGAACGTTATATCCGACGCGCGACGAGAAACGTTCATCCGGGAACCGGGAACCCCCGGAGATGATGAAAACACGCTCAGATCACAGCGTTCGGTGCTCGTTCGGTGCTCGTTCGGTGCTCGTTCGGCAGCGTCTCACCGCGGTCTGGCTGCGTGTCGTCGCTGATCGTTGCCTCACGGTAACACGGTGCTGTACGCGAGACCGGAGCGCGATTCCCCTGAAGCCCCGCCCCCCGACTGACGTCTAACATCAGCGAGACACAGGAATAGTCATCGGAATAGCGAAATAACCTTTACGTTAAACTTACAACGGCGCTTGTTCGTGTTATTCATTCGCTATATTTACGTTGGATTCCTCGTCGCTCCGGTGGTTGCTAACGGCTACGTGATTGACTTGTGGTCTAATCCAATCACAGGCGACTAAATCGCTCCGACCGGCCAATCCTTGGCGCAAGAGGCGGGGCTTATCGAGGAAAGCGCTTTTGTGTACGGGCTTTCCTTTTATGGTAAAAAGTGGGCGGGTCTGTTGGCGGAAGTGGTGCGCGTCATTCTCCACGCTCGCCTCGCATTGGCCAGTGACGCAAAACACTAATAAAGCGTAAAAACGTGACTACTAATGATGAACACTAATAATGCCTTGAAAAATGATTGTTCTAAGAGAAAGTCGCTTTGGATGAAATAAAACAAATAGCACGTATTTCTTTAAATACAGTGAGTTTATTGTTTTATAAAATATATAAAGACACATATGATGGGGATATGAGCATGCATTGCATTGCTTCTTTATATTTTTATTCCAGATGTCCCAGCACTGAGGTATTCTTCAGTCGATCTCATTACAGCAGCTTTAGTGCTGATCCTGATGCGACACTAATGTCCAGAAGTGCTTGTGTGATCATCACATCTACAGCACGGCATTCAAAGATATATAAGCTATATACATACATGCACATGGGTTTAGAGGCACTAAACCCACAATATTATTAAATAAAAATGTATAAAATGTGGGTTTTGTGACCCTACAGACACCTACTACAGTAAGTGAATATAATTAAATATAGCGATGAATATAAATATGCACAATTAAAAAAAATCTATAAATAATAACACCATAAAATAATACATGTATAATATGAATGCCTCTGCAAACACTGTAGCGGTGAATATAACTACATCTGCTGTGATGGTTGAGAGCTTAGAAGATGATTAATGTCAAGTCAAAGCTATTCTAGCAGAATGTTTTAGTGCATTATTTACAGCTTTCGTATTTGAGCTGAACGCACAGCCTTAATTGTTTATGAGTCATAATTATTGTCATTGAATCATTAGAATGGTTGATATAAATAGATGGCGCACTGCAGGGGTTTCATGTGCTAGTCATAACACTGCAGAGACACATGTGAGGGGGCAGCAGAGAGTCACCTGACCCCCGGCAGCGTCTCAATCCCCGTCTGTCCTCCCTCTCCGTCTCCTCCTGCGTTTGCCCTTCCGCCGCCTCCTGCTAGAGAACAACATTCCCATCCTTTACATGCAAGAATAAAGCAATATGCAAGAAGGCTTCACGGGGCTTACTGCTTTTATAAAACGGTTGTTCCATATACAGTGGGTACGGAAAGTATTCAGACCCCCTTAAATTTTTCCCTCTTTGTTATATTGCAGCCATTTGCTAAAATCATTTAAGTTAATTTTTTT